GATGTCCTCGCTTAATTCGCTGCGTGTGCCGCGGACGAACGCGGTAGGCGGAACCGGTGTCGAGCAAGGCAAGGAAGGCCAATAGCTGCTGGTGTGATGTGAGATCATAAGCTTGAAGCGGTGGTTGACATGGTGCGCTCTACAGACGCAGCGGCTCAACGTACCGGAGGTTCGGTTTCGCCAATGAGTCGCGAAATTCTGTTTGCTGATGCTCTTTGACTGAAGAGGTGCCCAGTCTTTTGAGTGTCGTGCGGATGTTGATGCTCGCGTGCTGCACGGCTTGCGAGTATAAGCATGCACCCTCGATGAGAGCAACACATCAACACCTCGCGCCGGCGAGTCCATCATCTCCGACCAACACCGAGAGACGCGTCGGGACACGCGCGCGCCACCTGCCCGCATGCAGTCAGATGACTCATGCTGTTGTTGTCCACAGAGTCTGAGCAGTGCTGTGACATTCCTCCATCAAGTCACAGCGGCAGTGACTACCTGAATGCTTTGCCAGCTCTCGTGCAGTCAGAAGGCAGCAGGTCGGTGTAGGGTTATGCATGCAGCGCGATGTCATCTATACCCTGCCATCTCTTGGCTCACCTTCTGAGCCGTGTTCAGCACACAAGCCGCACCTTGTGTAGCTCCGAGCTCGAACGTTCGAACGAGAAGCAGCAGCCTCGCGAGTGCAGCGACGAGGTTGGGCCAACGCTCGGGCTTTCACTCGCAAAAGACACGCGCTGATATTTGTTTGCGAACAGACGACCCCTTGCATCGTCTTTGAGACGGAACAGCTGATCAATATGTCGATCATTCGATGCAGTCACTCACGCTAGACAGCCCACCGCTCCTTCGGAGACCCGCGTGGTGGGGCGAAGGTAGGCCTCCGAGAGCAGACATTTCGGTTTTCCGTAAGTCGAGACAGCACTCGGCGTCAACGGATGCTCATGTCGAATGTCTCAAGATCCTCTCGTCTGCACAAAAATGTATTTCTCCGAGCACAACACCGCGCACGGCAGCAACATGATGGCAACAATCGAGGCTTAGTTGCAGTGCCCTCCCAAAGGTCTGCGAGACCTGCTAAGACCAGACGTGCTGAAACGGTCACTTCCGAGTCCTAGGTGCATGACAGCCTAGCTGCTACATAGCACAGAAGCGAAGCCGTGCTTCACCTCCGAACCTCGGCCAGCACTCATGGAATTCCTGCCGGTCACTTGATTGCCGACGTGTGAGGCTTGCAAAAGGACGTTCGTGGGAATATGCCCACGCATGGCTTGACATTCTTGAGTCACGAATCACAAAGTTGCGCATAGTCACGCATTCGCAGCCTGCAGTGCACCTTGGCCTGACACATGCTCCGCTGTAGTCACCAGCATGTCCAGGGTTTCAGCGTTCATCGGTGCCGAGCTTTGTGTCGGATTCGGCCAAGAGCGCGCCGCGCACGCCCGGCCCTCGGCTGCAATGAAGTTCGAGAACGACGGTCTCATCCAAGGAGCGCATGTTCGCATTGCGCAAGCCGCCGTAGTTGCTTCAAGACGCAGCAGGTGCATTCTCATCACTCCGCTGGTGTCGTGACGACTCTTTCTCTGACACCCGTTGCGCAGCGCGGAAGCTCTGACCAGGCCACCCTAGCTCGATCATCGTTCGTCGAGCAATGGCTGCACACGCATCTGCGCCTCCCAGCGTGCGCAAAGTCCAAACTTTGTCCGTGCCGAGCACAGCCTGGAGGAGCATTCAAAAGTTACGAGTCGAATTGTCGTCAGGTCTGGCAACGTATGCCGTCATCTCTGGATAACATGTGCACACGTCTTCCGAGGTTTTATATTCACGATTTTGCCTATTCGGATTTGCTCGTGTAGACGCGTAAGGCCACGTGACAGCCTATGAGGCAAAATTACACCACCGATTCCGTCCTGTGCCATTCACACTCAAACAACAAGCGACTCTCACAATCTGCTTTTCTCTTCGTTCAAGCCACCGGAGCGCTTTACGGCCACCATGAATTCTTGTGGCCAAAGATTACGTTCCACAGGAATCACGATCGAGATTCACACCAGGGCGTCGAGAGCTAACCTTGTGCAACAGGACTTGTTCAGATTGTGAGTGCGAAGCGAGGTCTTGCTTGTTCTATAGTACACGAAGCGATTTCAGTCTACAACAGCGAGGTGATGGCGGTCACGAATGCTCGTCGCAGATAGGAGGGGTAGACCGAGAGACTTTCGATCAAGGTCTCCTGCAAAGGGTATATTGCCATTCCTGAGGATGGTCTTGGTGCACGAGAGATGGCAGCGATGCGTCCAGCGCTATCTACTGGCATTCCTAGTACTTGCCATATGCGTACGGAGCCTGCATCGGAGGATTGTAGGGGCCTCCACCGTAGCCAGCCTCGGCTGTCAACGGCACACTGGAGTGAGAGGCGTTGCGGTTGTGCAAGTATTTGAACTCTTTGCGCTCTGCGAGCTGTTGCCTGTACCGACCAACGATGACGGCAAGATAGAGGGTAATGAGGACGACAACGGCGAATACTCCGCATCTTTGGAAGAGCAATGGTCCATGAGCCGTCAGCAATCGTACGCTGATCATCACACCGGTAAAGGAGACTCACGCAATGCCGTAGACCACATTGAAGGTGCCTTGGCACACCTTTCTGACATCGTCAGCGCTGAGGCCAGCGTCTGTAATCCCTGTAGCAGGATCGGTGCACTGCTTCACGAAGCTGTCCTTGCCATGGATGTAGGTGATGACGAGGTTGAAGATGCCGATGACAGTCGCGAACGACCAGCAGAACCATAGAGTGCCTGAGTAGAAAGCGACCGCTACATGCGACGGAGACGAGGTAAGATGTATGAGTGATGCCGCTCTGGCCTACAAGGACTGGCACATGCCCGACATTAACTCACCGCCGTGCTTTGCTGCGATCGAGCCTATGAGACCAAAGAAAGAAGCTAGCGCCAGGAGGCTCATGATACCACCCAGCAGACCAGTTGCGATCTTGACATTCAGGGGGCTGTCAGGGTCCTTGGCGATTTGATGCAAGAAGTACCACTCCACCGCCGCCAAAAAGGCGGAAGCGACTAGTGTCACCGGCGAAAGGAGTAGCACGGCGAGCCTTGTGGGCAGGCAACAACAGAAGGTGCGCTGAGACATGTTGAGGGGTGCGTGGGGCTTCTCTTGAAATTTTGTAAGATTTTAAAGCTGAATAGCTGATGCTTGGGAAAGCTTCTGACTGTGTTGCGATGTTGGCTGCACTGAGTGTTCGTCTGTGTATGAAGGGTGGGGAAATTCGTTTCGCGACTCGAGGGCAATTGAACATTCGTGATTATATAGACGCTCGAACGACCATGCAAAGGCGCTGGTGGCGCGAGGACGCTGCCGTCATGCATGCGCACATCGCACCGCGTGCTTGCTCTTCTTGCGAGCTCTTGAGAACGAGGCGGCTTGCGACGAGCTAGCCGCTCAAATCGGCTTGCGCGGGTGTGTGTCGTGAAGGGCTTGTCTGAGCATCAGCGCGAGGACAGGATGAGGAGAATCGTGAATGCACGTCGGGGCGGTGTCGACACGGAGTGAGGCTGCCCAAGGCCAAGAGCGAAGCGCGATGCAGAGGTGCAGCTATAGGTCGTCAAAGTCGCGCTACACATGCTGCACCTAT